GCAGCGCAGCGGCCGCGGAGCCTCAGGGGGGACCGCGCTGCCCCGCTGGGTCCGTGTCTTGCCCCAACGAAAGCGAGCTTTACCCGCCTCCCCCCCCGGCCCTAAAAGAAACCGCATTTCCTTTAGCGCCCACTACTGAAGCCGAAGCCGTCGCCGACCTAAAAATAGTCCGAGCCGCTTCCCCACCCCGAAGCGTGCGGTTCCCACAGGTTGCGCCGGGCGCTGTCATCGCGCCCAGGCTGCCCGCAGCCTCCCCGGGAGGGGCTGCCTCCGCCCCCCATAAAACCTTCCCGAAGGCGCTCGGACCTGGGGCACCGACAGGGAAAATCCTATTCTTGGAAAGTGCTCGAAAAGACTAAAACCGGCCCCGTGTCCACAGGGAATGCTCGGCTCGGAGACGGAATATTGTGGGTGTTTCTTGCGCAATTTTTGTTTCAGGGAGTAGCCAGAGCCCTCCATCAGCGGCCTCCGTGTTGCTTGAACCTGCCTCGAAAATAAAGCTAACAAAAATAAACACTCCTAAAGCTGTAGAGTCTTTTTAAAACGCTGCTTCTGGCAGTTGCACACCCGTGAATATCACACCCGTGCAGCGTGTCCCTCGACCGAGGCACCGGCACCTTTCGCCGTGGCTCCGCAATACCCACGGCCGCGCAGAGCTGCTCGACGTGGGAACGGAGAAATTCCGCGGAAACCAAAGGCGACCAAAGGCGCGGTACCGCGCTGCGGCGCGCGCCCCCCCCCCCCCCCCCCCCCCAGCCGCGACCCGCGCAGCTACCGCTTTTCCCTGCCAAAATACCCCTGCTTGCTCCGGAGCTCGATGGCTACGGTTTTAACGAGGGTTTACTGACCGCCCGGGCCAATTTCTGGCTCGCTTTTCTTTTTCTTAGCAGGACTCCAAGTAAGAACGAGGGAGAGATTCAGCTGCCAGGCTACGAGGGGAAATACCTTAACAACTACAGGAATTTTTTTTCTTTCTCTTAATAAATAAGAGAGGGACGATCCCAGTTACCACTAGGCCTTCTCAAATGATGCGTGCACAAGGAAGTCAGTTTTTGCCTGCGTGGCTGCGTTCCCAGTCGGCCCAGGGAGAGCGACGCTAACGGAAACTTCGTCAGGAATATTTTAATTTTATTCTCTTTGTCTGGAAATTAAAAACAACTACGGCAGCAGCTCTTTCCCGGGCAAATATTAGCCTAGGAAGTGCTCCGCTCAGATGTGCAGGTCTCCGTTATGCGTTTCCCCCCGCAGGCAGCCCGGGTTTGCAGTGGGCGGCAGCAGCCCGGCTTTTCCTGCGGCAGGGCCCGCCGAGGACCTGGTGGGCACAGGCCTGGGCGGAG